GCCACGGGTTGAGTTCTCTGGCCCCTGCACTCAGGGCCTTCACATTACCCACCCTGGTTGCCAAGCTTGGTTTTTTGAGGCCAGCTTCTAAATCCCCTTCACCAATCAAGTGGAGATGCCTAAAAAGAAAATAGATGAGGTTGGCAAGACAGGACTGGGCACCTGAGGTCTGGTTCTCAGACCCCCAGAGGTGGGGATGTCCACCCCCACATCTCCAGCTTCACTGGCCCTGGCGGCCAACGCAGGACATAAAGAAGGCCCCAGGGTGGAAGGGAAAAAAGGGACTCACCAGCAGTTTTTAACATCATTAACAACCATGCTTTATTACCATTTATCGAGCGAGCATTTGCCGAGTGATAGGTATGTACTGATGCTCAAGTGGAGATGTGTGAACTCACAGACACAGGAGTTGGCTGTGATCTCAGGAGACAGCGAAGAGCCCTCTGAGGCCTCAAGCATAGAGGGTTTGAAGCCTGGTTCTGTGTGGTCACATCTTGATAGAGCTGGCTGGGGGATGTCTGCAGCCCCTGCTGGTCCAGCTGACCCCTTGGCCCCCTCTTACAGGAGCGTGTGTTACACGAGGAGCACCGGCGGCAGGTGGAGGCCCAGCTGGACTACCTGGCCCCGTTCCTGGCACAGCTCCCGCCCGGGGAGAAGCTAACGCGCTGGCAGGCCGTACACCTCAAGGATGAGTGCCTCAATGACTTCAAGCAGCGGCTCATCGACAAAGCCAACCTCATCCAGGCCCGGTTTGAAAAGGTGCAGCCGGGGCCCTGGCAGGGGTGGGGACCTCGGCATCCTCTACCGGAAAACCGGCCCAGGGCTGTTGGCTCACCATCTCATAGACTTGTGAGGGACTAATGGGCGGAGGGGGAGGAGGTCAGTGTTTGGTGTGTCCAAAGGACCAAGTTGTCCTTCCTCATCCTTGTTTATTGGGTGGAGGGTTGGATGAGTGAACAGAGGATGGAAGGGTGGATGGATGGCTGGAGCATTATAACAACTCCTATAGTTTTTGACCCATTTCTGTTGGTCAGGTACACATCATGTAGTTCCCCTGCGTTATCTTATTTAATCTTCACAAACAGCTCTATGGTGGTGGGGGTGGGGGTGTATGCAGTGACCCTCATTTTGCAGATGACAGATTGGAAGCTCTGAAAATGTACTTTGACCAGTCACGTGGCTCTCAGTCCTGACTCCTGTTCTAACCTCGTGGACATGTTGTTGTTGTTGTTTAGTCGCTAAGTTGTGTCTGACTCTTTCTGACCCCATGGACTATAGCCCACCAGGGTCCTCTGTCCATGGGATTTCCCAGGCAAGAATACTAGAGTGGGTTGTCATTTCCTTCTCCAGGGGATCTTCCCCAGTCAGGGATTGAACCCTCGTCTCCTCTATTAGCAGGCTGATTCTTTACCACTGAGCCACCTGGGAAGTCCTCGTGGACATGTATCCCTCTAAACAAGGGTTTCTTGCCTCTGCTTCTCTGGCTTCTATGAGAAGGAGTGATGGGGCTGACCTTGTGGGGCTGTCTGATGCCCAGTGCAGGGGGCGGGATCAGCCTGCAGTCTGGGTCAGCCCTTCTGCTCTCCTTCCCCATGCCCACAGGAGACTCAAGAGCTGCAGAAGAAGCAACAGTGGTATCAGGAGAATCAGGTGACCCTGACGCCTGAGGATGAAGACTTATACCTGAGTTACTGCTCTCAGGCCATGTTCCGTATCCGTATCCTCGAGCAGCGGCTCAGTCGGTGAGGAGGCAGGGGTGGGCGGGGGGGGGGGGGGTAGCTGAGAGGACCCACAAGGATGTTGGAGCACCAGCTTTTGTATTTTTGGCTGTGCTGGGTCCTCATTGAGGTGCATAGGCTTCTCTGGTTGTGGCACGCAGGTTTAATTGCCCTGCGGCATGTGGGATCTCAGTTCCCCAACCAGAGATCAAACCCATGTCCCCTGCAATGGAAGGATTCTTAACCACTGGACCACCAAGGAAGTCTCCCAGTACCAGCTTTGTAACCCCTCCCTCTGATTTCAGACACAAGGAGCTGGCCCCACTGAAGTACTTGGCTCTGGAGGAAAAGCTCTACAAGGACCCACGCCTGGTGGAGTTACTTAAAGTCTTCGTTTGATGCTCTTCACCCCCTACACTTGTGGTCCTTTGAGTCCCTCCTGAGGCCTCAGCAAAGCTGCCAGAGAAAGAAACCTCCCCCAAAGCCTGGGCCTCGTGTTCCCTATGCCCAGCTAATGACCATCCACTCAGGCACACTACCTTCCCGCTTTTCCTAATTTGCCTGTAAATAAACACTTGCCATTTGCCACGTGTACCTCATGTTTCACAGACTCCAGCAGCAGCCTTTTTCTCCTTCCCTTCTTTATCTGTGGCCTGGGACCACCTTTGCAGCCTTATCTTATTTAACACAGCAACTGCATCCCCATTTCACACATGGCTAATTAGTGGCTGATAAGAGGCGCTGGAATTCAGTCTCTTGCAGTCTAGCGTCAAGAACCCAGGTTCTGGGGCACACACCTTGGGCTTGCCATTCCCACTTTGTGAGCTGGGCCACCCCAGCCATGCTTGGTGGGGGTGCAAGACCCTCATTTTGCAGAAAAGAAACTGGAAGCTCTGAAATGTACCGTATCCAGAGCTACATGGCTGTCTCAACCTTAACCCCGACTCTGACTTCTTAAGCATTATATCCCTTTAAGCAAGATTCCAGTGGCTTTCTCCCAAGACATGTATGTGACCCCTGCTCCTCTGACTTCTGTGGGTAGCGGCCCTTCCCAAAGCCCACCCCACCCGAGTCCCAAATGAAGTCGGCCTTTATCGGGTTCCAAATCCAAACTGGTGGTCCCCCTCAAGCTGCAGCGCACTCATCCATTCATCGAGGCCGTGGGGGTAGCACTCCCGGGCTCCAAGACTGACTCGGACCCGGAATCAGACTCCTATTCCCTCTAAGCCTCCTGCGTGGAATTCAAGCCGGGGTCCGAGCCAGAGAAGAGAGACAAAGTTCTCAGAGCACGCCAGCACCGAACCCGAGGAAAAAGAAGAAACAGTAGTCTAGGCAAAGTGCTGACTAAGGCCTCTTCCCCCGGTTTTACCCCAATCCAAGATGGAAGGTCGGCGGCTTCACGCTGCTCCTGATGTCCCCTTCCTATTGGCTATCCTGAAATTGGTTTTCCAATAATACAGTTGCTGATTGGTCAATTTGTGACGGTTGCTAAAGCGATTGGTGCAGCCGCCCTTGGTGGGCGTTTCGAAAAAAAATTTTAAGTGCAAACTAGTTTTCGTGAAAGAGATGGAAAGGGGAGGAAAGGGAAAACTTGAGGCGGAGGCGGAACCAAGGAAACGGCAGCTCGCATTGGTTCACTAGAGGCCTAGGGGCGGCTCTTGAACTCTCCTTCCTCATGATTAGTCCAATTCAGGAAAAGAGGGCGGGCACTTAGGAGAGGGCGGCAGAAGCGCCTGCTCCTATTGGTCATACCCGAAGGGAGGTGGAGTGCTCGCGACGGCTGATTGGTGCTGGGAGTGAGGAAGGAGGGGCTCTGAGCGGAGGTTTTGTTGTGAGGGTCGGTTGTCAAGCAGCGGCCAATCAGGCCAGGGGATGGAGGCAAGTGGGGGTCGCGCCTGGAGCGGAGCCTCGGCCTCCCGAGCCGCAGCTGCAGGTGGAGTGGGCGAGGGGGCGAAGGGGCCGAGGCGGCGAGGGGAGGTTGAGCCTTGGGCTGGGGCGAGCCTGGCGGGGCCAGGCCGGGATGCGACGGAGAAGGCTCTGGGCGGAGGGAGGCTGGAGCCAGTGCTGAGAGGAGTGGGAGGGTTAGGCAGGGCCGAGGGACCAGCCCCAGCTTCGGGAGGGGCGGGACCGGTGTGGAGGCCCGAGGGGAAAATCCTGGGAGGCCGGAAGGAGAGCCGGGGGTCTGCGGGAGGAGGGGGGATGAATGGGGACACTTGAAGCAGGAGAGTGAATGAATGGGGATACTGATAGCAGAGAGAAAAGGGGGGACTTAAGAGGGTCTGGCGAGGCAGGGGCCAAGTTAGGGAGCCCTGGAGACCGGATGTGTGCACACAGGCGGCAGGGAGAAGGAGGAGAGAATGGAGAACTAGAGAGGCAGACCTGGGGAATCCAGGAGAAAGAGGCTTGGAGGCGCGGATAGAAGGCTCCATGAGGTCGCCTTTTAATGCTGAAGAGTCATACCGACTCATGCTCAGTCTGGAGGCCTAGTTCCCAGCACTGTCCTTGGGAATGGCAGGGACCTGGAGTAGTTCCCTTGATTCATACTGGACTCCCAGGGCCCATTTCAAGACTCTACCTAGAGAAAACTTCAGTCTCTATCTCTCGGGTGCCTCTCGTGGCCCCCTAAACTTAGTCTCTGACTCCGCCCCCTTCCCATACGTCAGACAAAACTGACTCTCAGATCTATCGGAACTGCAGACATGTGGTCTTTCTTCCCCGCCCCACTGCAGCTGCTGCATTTCAGCTGCATTTCAGGCAGCCAACCTCCTGGAACAGAACCTCCTCCCATCATCCTGGCCTCTGAGAGAACCTTCTTTTTCTCTGTGCTTCAGCCACCCTGCCTGAGATACCCCTCTGAAGATTCTCAAACCCAGCTTGCAGTGGAGCTCTTGTCTCTGGTGCCTTTGCTGGGTGTCTGTTTTTATCAAGTGACCTTGGTCATCGAGGGAGCTGCAGCTGCAGTTCTGTAAACCCAGGGACCCCCTGAGCTCCCCCTGAGTGTTTGCTAACAAGCCATCACCTCTGTTTGTATTCCAGCCCAGTGTTGAGCTGAGATGGCTCAAGCTTGACATTCCATCACCCAGGATCCCAAAAGGCACACACGGGCTGCTGCTGTGGATGATTTAAAACCACGAGGTGGTCTGGAGAGAGGCATTCCCTCTGCCTGCATGTGTGGAAACTCCCTGCCAACTTGATTGGTGGATCTGGGGGGGATCCACCCCCACCCCACAAGGAAAGCACAGTCTATTGTGGGTGGAGCTTCAGGTGCCAGCCAGCTGAAGGATGGCCACCCCTGTGGTCACCAAGACGGCCTGGAAGTTGCGTGAGTGGCTTGCTTTCTTACCCCATTTACCCCGGTAGCTGTTTGTTGGTGGGTGGCCCGGACCCTCAACTTTGTCTTCCACTCTTGGCACAAGGGGAGACTCCCATTCTTTGGCATAAAATAGACCAACATGCAAATCATGACTTTGGCAGTGAGTGACACTGCCTAAGTGACTCAACCTCTCAGAGGTTGTTTCCTGACTTTACGATGAGATAATTACGCTTCCATGCTAGAACTGCTGTGAGATTCAAGTGAGAAAATGAACATAATAAAGCACTTAGCAGGATTTCCAGTTAGGCAAGCAAATGGGATGGTACCCCTCAAAGATGTCCTTGGTGTTTTCAGATGTCTCACCAGTCAAGCTCCCTTATCAGATGACAACATCTTGGGACTGGGTCGGAGGTGAGAGGGTAGGCAGGGGGCTGCTAATAGCCTCTGCAATGTATCTGAATCCAGGTACCACCCACCGCCACCATTACTGTAAACTGACACCTCTAAACTCTTTGATCTTAGGACGCTTTGATATTCTTAAAACTTACTGAGGATCACAAAGAGTTTTTGTTTATGGGACTCATATCTACCCACATTTACCACTTCAGAAGTGAACACTGAGACATTTGAAAACAACGCACAAACATACTGTTAATGATGATGTCATCACGTCATGTATCTTCTGGAAAATGCCACCATATTCTTGTGAGGAGATGAGAGTATAAAAGTCAGACTCCATCTTAGTATTATGATAAAAGTAGTTTTGTTCTCTTGGATCCCCTGAAAGGATCTTGAGGGTCCCAGGGTTCCCTGGATCATATTTTGAGACCTGTTGCTTTGCACCTGGTGCCTCTGTGGGCCATACTCCTCTAGTAATAACTGGCTGGCATAGATCTGGTGTGTCCAAACTGGTCATCCTTTGCTATGAGCTGTCCCTGGGCTGTTTTCAGAAGCAGGGCCGGGGTCCTCCACTTTTTAACTGTGAGAACCTGAGCAAAACTCTCTGCTGGGTCTCAGTGTCCTCATTTGTAAATGAGAAGACTGGGCCATGTTCAAATTGCTCCTCAGTTCCAGAGTTTAGGGAGAATCATGTTATGGGCTCCCAAGGAGGTGCACTTTGGACAGAATGGCTCTGTATTTATTGGGGTTATATATATATACCTTCAACAGCTGGTTTTTCCTGAGAAACCAGGAAAGAACCAGGCCCTGTTGAGACAGTGGAGGGCAAAACAGGCAAGGTCCCGGTAACAGTGGGGCTTAGAGTCGGGAGCACAGCACGTGGGAATCAGGTAATCACACTCACCTGTCTCTCCTTCTCTGATTTCAAGCTGGAATGTGTGCTTTAAATCAGTTAACTACATGATAGAGGGGGTAGGAGTAGAGGAGTGTGGTGGGCTGCCTAAACAGCATGTGCAAAGGCCCTGAGGCAGGAAACTTGGTGGGTTTCAAGGTCTCAGAGGAGGCCATGGGCTACAGCATGCTGTGGGAAGAATGTGGTGCTACATAGGCTAGTAAGGTCTTCTGGGACCTTACCCAGCCCTTCTGAGGCTTTGACTTTATCTGAAAGGCGAGGCCAAGCCATCAGAGCATTCAGGCGGGAAGTGACGTCATCAGGCGTGTTGGGCATCTGCTGACAATTTCATGTGCACAGCAGTTTCCATGAGTATAAATTGTCTAAAGAGCTCAAAGGCCAAATGACCTCTGGCTCCTTATGGTTCCAGAGTCTGAGGAGGATCAGAAAGTGCTTGCTGAAGCCCAGTTCTTTGCACCTTCTGTTGGCATGCAGGTGCTTAGCGCTTCAGTGTCCCCCTAGCTCTGGCTGGGATGTGGGGTCCAGACTGTGCCCCCTGAGCTTGGGAAACCAGCATGAGCCTGGGCCCCACAGTAGAGCAGCAGCCATTGGCCTGGCCCGCTGTGAGGACTTCTATTTGTTTGCATTTAAATTCAGTACCCAGGCCTGGGCCACTGCAGGGTACCATCCTTCAGGCCAGACTAGGAGCTCTTAGGCTCGGCCCTGTGCCGAGCCCTTCTCTGCCTGATGCCTGAGGTGTGCCCCTGCTCTCCCCACCCCACCCGCTGGTCCCTCCAGGGGTTCCAGCCAATCCCTGGTCAGGCTTCTTGCAGGGGAGTAGTCTGAGCCCTTCTAGAAGGGCCCAATCTTCAAATTCTGCTTGCCCTAAAGTCTGCAGTTCCTTGGGCTGGATGCCCTGTCCCCGGAGCCATCTGACCAGGCTGGAGCGTGGAGACGAGAACTTTATCACTGTCACTCCCCACCGTCTCTCAGCGCAGGGCCTCTCGCGGACACCCGGGAAACATTCATACTATGTGTTAATGGCTGTCTCTGCAGGCAGTGGTCCTGAGATGCAGAGAAGGGTGGCAGTGGGCCCAGGAGACCCAGTGCGGTGGGGCCCAGCCCGAAATTTCCCTGGGAAGGCTGAGAGGCAGGGTGGGCAGCTAGGCCTCCTGGTGGGTCACGCATGGAGGGCATCACATGTAGGGTGTGTCTTCAGAGAACGGGAGGGGCCCCGGGCTGGGGGGTCACAGTGCTCAGGGGAAGACGGGTTGGCCTCTAGCTAAATTGGGCAGTCAGTCCGGCCCAACAGAAGCTCATGAACAGATAACTCTCTGTGACCAGAGCCCCAGGGCACCCATGCATCTGTGCTACAGTGTCTAGGGGACAGAAGGCTGCTTGGCCGAGGTGTGGACCAGAGAGAGGCCCAGCTTCCTCGACTCCAGGAGCAGGGCCCCCCAGGCCCCGGCTCACGTTTGGGCCTGCCGGGAGCTCTCACCTGGCTGGGGCTGGCCCCGCCACCCCTTGAGGTGGGGTGTCGTCTGTGAAGTTGAGCCTGGGGCCTAGTCCCCTAGGCAGTTCTGACAGCCCCTGTGAGGCATGCCGCCTGGCCAGCATCCTTCCCCAGCCCAACTTCCCAGCCTCCCTGCGGTCTGAGGCCAATACTGCGGAGACCCCCAGGCAAGGAGGAGGCTGGAGGCTGGAGCAGGCGCCCAGGACGGGCCTCTGCAGAGCAGCTGCACCGCCCTCTCCCTCAGCGTGGCCCAGGCCAGCCTCCCAGCTGCCTCAGCGCATGAGCATGTTTCCCTTGTCTGTGTGGGAACGCTGTTTCTTTCCTCCCCCTTCTCAGGAGAAATTACTCAGGCCCTGGCTCAGAGACCTGGGCTGCCTCTTGGTTCCTTGCCTGTTCCTTCTCTGGCGATGCCTTCTGAGACTTAGTGTCTGCTGCAACACCGCCTCCCCCCCAGGTCCAGGCCATGGGCCCTCGGGGCCACCCACAGTGACCTTACCTCCTCCTCTGTCCATTCGACTCTCACACCCAACCCCTCAGTTTGACTGCCTCCTGCTCCCTCCTCACGCAGCCCACCTCCTGGATTTCTCCCGGGCTGCAGTGCCCACTCTCCATGATGTCTGATCTGTAGCCTGCCTGGCAGCCATGAGTATTCAGCCCCTCATAGAAGGTCACAGGAATGTCCTCAGTGAATCCTCAGCAGTCCAGCGAGCCACGCACTATTATTATCCCCATTTATCCAAGGAGTGCAGCACTCAGAGAGGGTGAGCAACTTGTCCAAGGCCACACAGCCTGCAATAGCAGAGCTCAGACCAGAGCCCAGTCCATGATGCTGCAGCCCTGGCTGAGCTCACCTGGGGACAGCTTGTCTGCCGTTGACCTGTATGGTTCCGAAAGTGGGTTTCCCCAAGCGGGAACACCAGGGCAGTTGAGAGGCCCTTAGGTGGTACATGGGTCAATATTTTTTATTTTAATCATTGTTTTCATTTTTCTTTTTGTATTATAGAAAAAATGTAGTGAACATATCAAGCTTGTAATTTTCATGTGTGTTATTGCTTAAATGACAAAGCTAAATAAAAATAGCAAGTCAGTTTTTAAAACTGATCATAGTAACTTAATAATAGTACCCATTGATATGCAGAAAAAGGAAAAAAAATTCATGAGGCTTAAGGGTAGGATGGGAGTGAGTGAAGTTGAGAAATTGTTGTTTCTGTCTCAGGCCCAAGCCCTGCACTGTCTCACTGCTCATGGCGTGTGTCTGGGCACCAAAGGGAGCCGCGGGGAGCAGGGCCCTCCCTCCGGGCTTCCGGAGCCAGGGATGGGGGCCGAGCAGGATAAGGCCCAGCCTGCCTCCACGTGGCCTGTCAGGTCCCTGACTGTCTTCTCCCTCTGGTCTTCCCTGTATAGAGGAGATCGTGGCCCACGCCAGCAATGTGTCCTCACTGGTGCTGGGCAAAGCCTCGGGCCGGCTGCTGGCCACGGGCGGGGATGACTGCCGCGTCAACCTGTGGTCCATCAACAAGCCCAACTGCATCATGGTGAGGTTCGGCCGGTGGGCAGGGTGGGGCAGATGGGCAGGCCAGGGATGGGTGCTGGGAGTGGGCAGCTTTGCAGAAACCCAGCACATCAGTGCTCCCCCCAAGTTGTCTGCTCAGGGAAGTCCAGAACGACCCAGATGGCTGGGACAGCAGCCAGTCCTCAGGAATGGGGAGCGGGGGCGGTCACCTGGTCGTGGGAAGGAATTCTGGGGAGCCTGTATGAAAAGGCTAAAATAAGCCTACAGGCCCGAATCTGAGCCTCCCTTGCCCATTGGCCTGTACACTTGCCTGTTAGTTATATGCAGGGTTATTTTGATTCATTGCCCACCTCATTCCACAAAAGGGATTTGAATGCCCCTGGTTGGAGCTGGTTAGAGGACTGGTTCTTTAATAGTGTTAATGAACTCAACTCTGCTTGGCTTGGGAGCTAATACAAGTGTCGGTTGAAAGGAAAGTTTGCTTTATTCAGGAGGCTGGCAGCTGGTGGGGAGGTGGTCTTGTGTCCAATGGCCAGTTCCCCGCTATTGATCAGAGGGCAAGAACTTTTAAAGGGGAGTTTCAGAGGTGTGTAGCTGATGCAAGGGAGCCATGTGCAGAGCGGCACAGCCAGCTCTGGTGTCACTGGAAGTCGGTTGTGCGGTGGTCCACCCAGCAGTGTGTCCAGCTTCATGGTCTGTCTGTTCCCGTTTCTTTGAGGCCAGTTCTCAGAACTGTGGCATCTTACGTCATGGTGACAGTGTGGTCGTCATGTAGTCAGCTTCTTCCATCTGGTGGGTGTTTCGATATCTACAAGACAGCTTGACAAGATAGGGTTCAGGTCAGGATCCACAGCCCTTGAGAAGGAACCAAAGCTCCTTGACTTTGTTTAATGACTAAACTCTTACTATTTGGTCTTGTTTGGCTGCTTGCCTTTGCTTCTTCTGCATTTTCCTTACTTCTCTGATTGAATTTGTTCTCTGACAAAAGTTTTTCTCCAGATAAAAGGCAGGCAGAGGACATGGAGGTGGGTGGCGTCTGTCCTGGGAAGGCCCTGTAGGGTTCTGCTCCATTTCATTAGCACTGTCCCCCTGGTTACACAACTGTATTCAATGCCAAAAACCGTTTTCCAAAACGAAATCACACAGGAGGGGAAAAAAATACAGAAATGAGTTCTGTGCAGTTTGATTATCCAAGGACCATCACACCTGGCACTTTGGTCTGTGTGCTTCTAGGGGCTGATACAGACACATATGCATGCATGTGTGTGCAGACTTGTGCCTATGTGTACACATGTAAACATGCCCACGTGTACACACACAGAAATATTTAACAATATGTTTCCAGTACACTGTCTTACTCTTTTGTAGCCTGGTTTTTTAAAATATAGCAACATTAAGAGTGTTTTCCTGTGTCAGCAAATACCCTTTTACAACACAAGTTTTAATAGCTTCATGGTATCCCATTGTAGGGTTGAGCCTGGCTCCCAGTGTGGAAGTCACAGCCAGGTTTTTGGCTCAGCCTAGCCACAGTGGGGCACATCCTCATCTCCGTAAATCTTCAGACAGATCTGCAATCATAAGATTGAATCTGTGGCTGTGTACTTTTTATAAAGCTTTCAAAACATATTGCCAAACTGCCTTCCAGAAGTCAATTTACATTCTCATCGGTGGCACTGAAGCTTGCCCTCTCTTCCTCCAATCTTGCCACACAGGACAGTGTTCTTTTGACTCTTAACCTAGTAAAGATAAAAAGGAGGTGAGGTTTATCAGTAGAAACGTGATCAACTCAGTGCTCTTGTGAGATCCAATGGACAGCTGAGATCTGACCCAAACCGCGGCCAAGGTTAAGGTCAGAACTGAGATCAGGTTAAGAAGAGAATTGAAATTGTTTTGCATCATTTTGTTTTGGGGGATCAGGTGTGTTTCCCGCTCCCTGAAATGCCAGAGTAACACACCCCAATTGAAAAAGAATCAACAGAGGCTGGTCTGAATTGGGGAGAGTGTCTGTGTTTCCAGCAGAATCACTCCCAGGTCCTCTGGTGGGGGTCAGCCCCTGGGGACCTGGGGGCTCCAGAGGCCACTGACGGGTCAGACCTCAGTTCTGCCATGATTTCCCCTCTGGAGGGCTGGGCCAGGCAGAGTAGAGATGGGAGCACAGTCCAGGAGGACAGTGCTTTGGACTTGGGACTGAAGGGTCAGCTGCCCCCCTGGAGGGCCACTCCTGCAGGTGACGTTCCTGTTGGGAGCACAGCGGGTGATGGAGTGTGGCTGGGGTCTGGCCCACTTTCAGCCCTGGGAGCCGAGAGGCCTGGGGGGGCCACAGGATCCCTGCTTGATGAGCTTCCCGGGGATCCAGGATTGGGGGCAGCAGCTGGGAGTCTGTTGACACAGCGCACCAAAGCTGCTACCTTCTCTCCTCAGAGCCTGACTGGTCACACATCCCCTGTGGAGAGCGTCCGACTCAACACCCCCGAGGAGCTCATCGTGGCCGGCTCCCAGTCGGGCTCCATCCGCGTCTGGGACCTGGAAGCTGCCAAAAGTAGGTGTCCACACTTGCCTCCCCCCGACGCATGCCTGCAGTTGTGCTTGTCCCCAGCTTTCCCATCCAGCCACTTTCTCCAGGAAGCCTGTTCTGACTAGGTTAGGTGCTTCTCTCCTGGTTCACTCACCCGATGGTGTGTTTTACGTTCCAGGGTTGCTTTGGGAGGTCATCCCAGATCCTCTCGTGGGACCTGCTTTTCTCCTCCCCTGCCTCCCCCTCTCTTCGTCTCCCCCTTCCCCCTCCCCCTCCCCCCTCCCCCCTCTCCCTCCCTCCCTCTCCCCCGCTCTCCCTCTCTCTCCCTCTCTCTCTCCAGGCTTGTAGGACCTTCCCCCCAGTGTCCTCAGGTTTCACAGTGAAGGGTGTTGGTGTGCACGTTCTCATCCTTGTACTGGGTCCTCACTGGGGTCTTGGTCTGGAGACTCATGCCCTCAGTTCTGAGCCAAATAGGGAGTCTCACTTTCCCTAGAATGGGGCTGCCTCTCAGCCTCACCGGCTGTTGCCACATCGGAATGTGGGCGCAGTCTTGCCAGCTCTACAGATTTTTTAAGAGAAGCTGGGAATCTGGGCATTTATGTGGAATCCACCCATTTCTAAAGGTTGACAGCTAACTCAACATACTTTTCAGAACACTGTGCAGGCTGACACTCAGAGGTCTAAGTAAAACCTGTTTGTTCACTGCTTTTTGCCAGCCTCCAGTCTGGACCTTGCAGCATGCCAGGTGGGAGGCCATCTGCTCCCTGAAGGATGGGAGAGGAAGGGGTGGCATGGGTTTTTGCCGAATCTGCCTCTCCCCAAAACGATGCCCTCTTCGCCTTAAAGGTCATTCTGGCCTCTCCTCTGGTGCCTGCAGGATGCTCTGCTGCAGGATGGTGGCCATTGGCCACACATGCCCAGTGGCCATGCATGCCCAGTGGCCAGGTTCATCCTGCTTTCGTATAGGTGGTCCTCAAGTTAGGACCTCACTTGAGCCTCTTGGGTGATGCTTACCCACCCAGTGGCAGACTGTTTCAGAAAGACAGAGCCCCAGGACCTCTTAGATAATAAAACAGGGGCTGCGAGCTTAGCATCTCAGCACGCAGTCCCACTGCCTGGCCACACATAGGACCCACAAGGCGGGGGCATCGCTGGATAAGGGGCCAGGGAGGAGCATGTCCAGGCTGCCTGGGCTCCAGCCAAGAAAGCAAAAAGCCTCAGGCAGCAGGTGGTTCAACTCTGGGAAGCCTCTGCCTAGACCCAGATCCCAGTGGAGGGTACCAGCCATTTGCCATTCACAGAGGAGCAAGACATAAAGAGAAGCCAAAAGTTGTGATTTCGCAGCCATGATTTTCATGCACAAGGGAATTTGAGAAATTTCTTGAGGTAGGCAAAGAATGGAAACTAAAGACGTCTGGAATTCCTGAGCCCTGGGCTCCCAGGGCTGGCTGTTCTATAAGCTACTTGTGACACATCCCAGACCCCACTCCCAGAGAAACTGACTCAGGAGAGGGATGGGCCCAGGATCTGGCTGTCATAAGCTTCTAGCTGGTTCTGATGCAAAACCAGGTTGGCACTGTCTCCTTTTTTGACAGATGGGCAAAGAGACCCAAGGAGGGCCCTGAACTTGGTAAAGACTCCATGGCTGACCTCGAATCCTGGTATCAGGACTCCCATCCCAGCGCTGTCTGCCCTGCCATTTGGCAGGGGTGGGTGGGTTTCAGTGACAAAAGAGAAACTCGCCCTCAGCATTCTCGGCAGGAAGACCTAAGTAAGACCTCAGGCCCACCTCCACCCCCACCCACCACAGCGTGGGTGGAAATGATACAGAGGCAAACTGGCACCTCACGTGCAAAAAGAGGTTGTTAAAGGGTTGCCTGACTGTGGCTTCACTTGCCCATCACTGGAAGGTCCAGCTGCTCAGCTGGAGGGTTTGGAAGTTCCCATGTGGGGTAGACAGGCCCTGGACACCCCTCTTCTCTGCAGATCCTGGATCCCGTGACCAAGTAGGGCATCAGGAGGCCCCGAGAGCCCTCCCAGGACAGAACAGCAAGGGCAGAAATCACACCAGAAGAATGTGGTCCTGCCTGCTTTCCATGGAGAGCCAGAGGGCGAGGGCGGGTCAGCCCGGGATCCCACAGGAAGACAGTCTGGGCTTCACAAAGCCGGCCTACGCAGGGGTGGGACCTGCTGCATCCTCTGGGGTGGGGCAGGATTTTGGAAGCCTGGCTCTGGGATGCAAAGCAGGTGGGCTGGCAGGGGCGGCGTGGACTGGAGCATGTGCAAGGGGAGTGTGCACCCTTCAGGGCCTGGACTGGGCTGCATGTGCCCGAAGCCCCCTTGGCCAGAAAGGCAGTGCTGAGCCCCCGATGGCATGTAACAACTACAGTGTGGGGAAGACAGCTGCTCAGATCTTGGTGTCTTTGAATTTTGTCCTTAAAGCATTATGTGTGGAGTCTGCTTGAACACCTGCTCCAACGGAGAGCTCACTACCTCACAAGGCAGCCTGTTTCACCTTGGCTCAAACCTGAGGATCCCTGGACTGCCACACTTCTTTGTCCAGCACCCTTGGCATGATCAGTTTCATTCAAACAGCAGAATTGTAAATCTTCTAAAAAGCAAGGCATATGAGGCCAGAGAGAAGAGGCAAATTTGAGTGGTACCAGAGAATACTCTGATACAGAATGATACAGAAACACAAGCCTCCCTCATCCACCACCCATTGACATCCTGCTCGAATACCACCTCCTCCAAAAAGCCCCCCTGGATTTCTCTTTCAACCTAGCAGCTTCTCCCCCACCTTGGACCGCTCCTGCGTCCCTCTCCTCGTGCTGTCTCGGGTGTGATGGGATGCCTGGCAGGTCATAAGCTCCATGTCCACAGGATGTAAACCAAATGCAGCAGCTGCTCGACTCTGCTGGCTCCGGGGCTTCACTCTTGTGAGAACACGTTGGCACAAGCCCAGTGGCACAAGCCGCATGGCGCTTGCGGGTAGTTTTCTGGGGGCTCATGTAATGGCAGAAATGGCTGGCATCTCTCAGGAGGAAAATAAGAAAAGCTAGTTGTTAGAGTGGTAGGACTCTGGTGGACTTTCCTCTTCATCCTGAACGTCTGTGTTACTGTTGTGTTTTCCTGTGCCGTCAGTACGAAAGCACACACAGAAACGAACACTGAAGCCTTTTCTCTGCTCGCCGTCCTGTTCACCTCTCACACCACTGTCTGCTCTCTCCCCTGTTAGTCCTTCGCACACTTATGGGACACAAAGCCAACATCTGCAGCCTGGATTTCCACCCATATGGCGAGTTTGTAGCCTCGGGTTCCCAGGACACAAACATCAAGGTGAGACACCACTCAGCACCCTGGCTCTCCCAGGACTGGGCCGGCAGTGGAACCAGGATGGTGAGTCCCACCCGAGGGGGTGGGCTTTGGCTCTGCAGGGGCCCCTCCCCGAGGTGCTGCAGAATCCATGGCCCCCCACCCCCGCCCCAGGCAGGGAGATGTGGGAGCACTGGCCAGACATTTGTACTCGGAATGCCCAGCTTTATAAGAGCAGCTTCCAGACCCCTGTCATCTTGGGGTGTAATGACCTGGAGGTGCTCAGAGCCCCTCTCTGCTCATGGCCATCTACTGCCCTCTGACCCAAGCTCCAGGACTGAGCTTGGCTAGGCCTCCCTAGCACAGCCCACCTTGGTTGTGACCTGTTCTGACCCCGGCCCCTCTCTGCTCCCCGCTTCACAGCTCTGGGACATCAGGAGGAAAGGCTGTGTCTTCCGATACAGGGTAAGCGAGGCCCCTCTCTCCATCATTCCACAAGCACCTTGAGGGCATTGAGCCTGGGGCGGTGCCCAGACCCTGGGAGGGGCTGGAGGAGCTGCTCATCCAGCCTGGGTGAGAACGTGAGAAACAAAAAGTCCAGATGAGAAACGTGCATCTGGAGCAGAGCAGGGGTGCAGTGGGTGGTCCACCTGGACCCCCAGCTTTCCATGCTCCCCACAGAACCATGTTCAGCAAACTGTCCTCCACAGTTTGTAGGCTGGTAACATGTGTTATTAAGTGAAGGGGGTTCCTGTTCATATGAGTTTGGAAGCACTGAGTTTAATAATTATTTTTTGAAGTCGTTCGACCCTTTGACATAAGAGGAGGCATTTAACTCTCCAAAAAGAGGCACAGGACATATTGCCCCTCAACCTGTAAGACCACGAGGTCTTGATCTGGAGTGTCCTGCAGGACAGAGGGTCCCTGAACACCCATGGGGAGGCGTTCCTCTGTGGCATCCCCCGCAGCTGGCGGTCTGTCACCTCTCTGCCGGCTCCCAGGAAGCACTGCTTGTGGAGGGCAGGGAGGAGTAGGGGTGGGGAGGGGAGCCCACAGGGCCAGGCCCCTCCAGCACGCGTGCCCTGTCTTGTCCTCAGGGGCACAGCCAGGCCGTGCGGTGTCTCCGGTTCAGCCCTGACGGGAAGTGGTTGGCATCCGCCGCAGATGACCACATGGTGAAGGTAGCTCGCGGCCAGGCGTGGGCCCAGGGCTGGGGACTGGGGTCTGCCGATCACACCCAGGTTGGGTCCTTATCTCCCTCCCCATCGGGCTCGCCCGCCCCAAGACTGTCCAGAGTGGGAGGCGGTTTGTGGATAAAGAGCACGGACTGGATAAGAGGGTCATCCGGAGTCTGAGGGCCAGGCTGGTCCTGACCTCCAGCCCACCCTGCCCCAGCTCTGGGATCTGACTGCTGGCAAGATGATGTCTGAGTTCCCTGGCCACACGGGGCCTGTCAACGTGGTGGAGTTCCACCCCAACGAGTACCTCCTGGCTTCCGGCAGCTCTGACAGGTGAGGAGGAGGAACAGGGCCCGTGACCTGTGACTGCCACACCTCTGTGCTCTGGGTGTGTATCTGCCCCAGTCTGCTTCTCGGTCCCGGGGTGTCATATCCTATCTGGACTGAACTGACTGCCAGCCAAGCCAGCCTGGCACCCAGGTCACATCTCTCCCCTGACTCCAGTTCCCCGGCCCCAGTGTCCTGGGCCTTCCTGGCTTGTCTGGATCCAAGGCCAGTGTCCACCTCCCACGTGCTCAAGAGTAGCCCTGACCTGGGGGTGGGTGGGCAAGTGTCTGCAAAAAAGCGCGTCTTCCCAGCCACTGGCCTGCGTAGAAACCAGGACTGGGGCCTGACTCTCTGCAGGACCATCCGTTTCTGGGATCTGGAGAAATTCCAGGTGGTGAGCTGTATCGAAGGGGAGCCGGGGCCTGTCAGGTAGGCGGCTGCAGGGCGTTGGGCGGGGCCTCCTCCGGGCCATGGGGCGTGGCCGCGGTGGCCCTTTCTAGTCTCCACTTCCGCTCTGGTCCTGGGCTTGCCGCAGCCTCTCCGGAGGCTTCTGACCCACGGCCTCCTCTCACCTGGCCCAGGAGCATCCTCTTCAATCCCGATGGCTGCTGCCTGTACAGTGGCTGCCAGGACTCGCTGCGTGTCTACGGCTGGGAGCCAGAGCGCTGTTTTGATGTGGTCCTCGTCCACTGGGGCAAGGTGGCCGACCTGGCCATCTGCAACGACCAGCTGGTGAGAGAGCCACCGCCCACCTTGCACCTTTGCGCCAGGCTGCCGGCCTCCTCCCCCGCAGGCCCCCAACTCCCTCCTGGCCCTGTGGGGACCCTACCCTCAGGGCCCCACGAAGAGTCCCGCCCCAGCTCCTCCATTTCCTGCAGATAGGCGTGGCCTTCTCTCAGAGCAACGTCTCCTCTTACGTGGTGGACCTGACGCGGGTCACTAGGACAGGCACAGTGGCCCGGGACCCGGTGCAGGACAGCCGGCCTCTGGCGCAGCAGCCGCCCCACCCCAGCGCCCCCCTTCGCCGCATCTACGAGCGGCCCAGCACCGCCTGCAGCAAGCCTCAGAGGTGGGGTGCTCGGGGCCTCAGAGGGCACTGGGGGGTGCAGGAGGTGGGCCCCCGGCCTCACCACCCGCCCCCCCCCACCTCCCTTTGCTCGGCTGGCCCCCCAGGGTGAAGCAGAACTCGGAGAGCGAGCGCCGCAGCCCCAGCAGCGAGGACGACCGGGACGAGCGGGAGTCTCGGGCCGAGATCCAGAACGCGGAGGACTACAATGAGATCTTCCAGCCCAAGAACAGCATCAGTGAGGCCCTCCCCTCCCCTCCCTCCCCATCCCTGCCTAGCCCCACCATCCCACTCTGGGACGCAAAGGCAGATGGTCCTTTCCAGGATGGTGTCCATGTTGCTGCGCCCCCTTAGCCTAATTCCTCACCCACATCTGGGCCCGGCTCTGTCCCCAGGTCCTCTAGGCCCCAGCAGAAGCGCAGCAGCCCCTCAGTGCTTGGCCTGCCAGGGGCCAGGGCATGAGTAGTGGCAAGCCTGAGGGTTCAGGCCCTAGGAACAGATCACGGTCTACAACAGTATGTGCACCCTGGAACCACTTACCCACCTCCTGCATCCTGTGGGGCCCTGGGGTCCTGGCTGACTAGGCCCTGAGGGCTCTGACAGCAGCCCTGGGCTGGCCCATGTGAGTCCCCAGCCCCCTTCACCTCTGCAGGTCGGACGCCACCCCGAAGAAGTGAACCCTTCCCTGCACCCCCAGAAGATGGTGAGTCAGGGGGCAGAGCCTGGCCTCCCAGGCGCCCCAGTCTTCCTCTTCCAGGCTGCCCCCCCCACAGGACAGTTCCCAGCCTCTCTCCCCCTGCGTCTTTTCCCACCATTCGCCCAAAAAGCACCTACTGTGTGCCAGGCGCGGGACTCGGGCCTGCTAACTGAGCATGACAAAGCAGGCAGGTGCCCACACCCAGTGAGGAAGGCGGATGGTAGGCAGCCACGTGGGAGGAGGAGCCCGGGTGGTGAGAGGCACTGGGGCCTGTGTACATGGGGGCTGTGAGGCTCTGCAGAGGCGGTGCATCAGGCAGGCCTGGGGGCCAGGTGAGGATACGGGGAGGGTATAGCCTCAGGTGAGAGGAAGCTGAGAGGAGGGCAGGGGTTTGTGGGGCCAGGTCCCCAGGCCCTGGGGGTTGGGTTTTGCTGCTGGAGGATTTTTGCTGTTGGTTTTTGCTGTTTGATTTTGCTGCTGAAGAATTTAAGAAGGGAGAAAAATCTGATCTGCTTTATGATTGGAGAAGGTGGGATGGGGCACCCTCATCTTCCAGCCCAACCTCCGCCTCCCCACCTCTCCCCACCACCAGCTTTCTCCTCAAGGGGCCATCTTCCTGTGCCCCTAAAGCTGGGTTCCTGAAGCACCTCTGTCTCCTACACTCCTATTCACCATCCACTCGGCACCAACCCCGCCTGAAAAACACACTCCATTCCTAGTGAGGTGTTGGGGCCACCACTCCCTGGGTCCCATCCACATGTGGTGCTCAGTTCCTGCTTTCTGCCAGACCTGTGGTTGAGTAGGTGGAAAGGGAGGGGACAGGCCCCGCCCCCTTCACCAGGCCTCCCCTGTAAGAGGCAAGGCGCCACCCAGAGTCCCAGCCCGAGCCCTGCCTTCCCGCCTGTCCCATCTCCCGACCTGACCTGACCCAGGGATCTTTCCCTTCTATCACCAGACATGGCCACAGCCAAGGAGGCAGCAAAGCCCAGCCCAGCCACAGACGCACAGTTCTTGGTGCCAAACGTATGTCCAGGCGGAGCAGGCACGGTATGAGGCTTGGAGAGGGCCTGGTGTCCTGAATCAGGGCTGGGGTGACCCTTGCCAGAGAGAGGGGCAGAGGGGGAAGCTTTGGGCTGGCTGCCTGCTAACTCCAGACCCTTCCAGCTTGAGGTCCTGTCCCGGCCCCCGGTCATCACTTCCACCCCTGCACCCAAGGCCGAGCCTGCCATCTTTCCTGCCACCCGCAATGAGCCCATCGGACTGAAGGCCTCCAACTTCCTGCCCGTGAGTGGGGGGCCCAGGCTGAGAGCGGGTGGAGGCCCATGGGGCGAGGGCAGAACTTGGCTGCCAGCATCCAGGCACCCATTCCACGCAGGCCGTGAAGATCCCCCAGCAGGCAGAGCTGGTCGACGAGGATGCCATGTCCCAGATCCGCAAAGGCCATGACACCATGTGCGTCGTGCTCACCAGCCGCCACAAGAACCTGGACACTGTGCGGGGCGTATGGACCACAGGTGATATCAAGGCAAGTGCCACCCCTGCCTGGGTTTAGAGCTGAGCTGAGAATAGAGCTTCCTGGGGTGGAGTTGAAGGGGTGGTAGGCGGCTCCAATCACCACACCTTGCAGTTTTATGTACCCCCCCTATAAAACCTGTGATCACATCAGACCCAGGCAGGGCCACTGTGTCCCCGGTCCCCACTGACGGGTGCTCTGTTTGCACAGACGTCGGTGGACTCGGCCGTGGCCATCAATGACCTGTCTGTGGTCGTAGACCTCCTTAACATTGTCAACCAGAAGGCGTGAGTGGCCGTGACAGGGGATGGGAGGTGGGGGGGCGTGGGCAGGGCCAGGTGCTGAGGGCACATATCCCTGGCCCTCTCCCCAGCTCCCTGTGGAAGCTGGATCTGTGTACCACGGTTCTGCCGCAGATCGAGAAGCTTCTGCAGAGCAAGTATGAGAGGTACTCATGGAGAAGCCACACCTGCCTCACAGCAGGGCGGGGTGGGGGTGGACCACGGGAAAGACCCCCAGGGCTGGTGCACTTGTGGGGTGGCTGCACCACACTGCTGTCCTCTTCGAAGTTGGAAGGCCAGAGTGACCACAAGTCCATGCTGCCTCTGGCCCTGTCTCTGCCCCGCTTTGTCTCCATGAGCTGTACACTCTGTTTAGTGATTCTATCCATCCCTCTGCCCTTGCAGCTATGTCCAGACAGGCTGCACCTCTCTGAAGCTGATCCTGCAGCGGTTTCTGCCCCTCATCACAGACATCCTGGCGGCCCCGCCTTCAGTGGGTGTGGACATCAGCCGGGAGGAGAGGTGAGGAACCCGGGCTGTGGGGTGGGGGGTGTGTGTGGTGTGTTTGTGTTTGTGTGTGTCTGTGTGTGTGTGCGCGTGCCATGTCAGGCAAGAGCACACAGGCCTGCTTGTTGATGGCCTGGTCAAACAGCCAATAGAGGTGGTCACTGTGTCTGGGACAGTGGCGCAGGGCACGGGGTGGGGTTACCAGAGCCTGGGTTCCTCCATGGCCTGGCTCTGGCCTGGGCCCTGCTCTTTGGGTCTCAGCCTTCCCCTGGGAGGAGGGCCGGTGTGGTTAGTACAGGAAAGGCCCTGCGCTTGGGCGGGGGTCACGGGACCGTGCCGGCTGGCCACCTCCAGCACTGACCCTCTGCTCACAGGCTGCACAAGTGCCGGCTCTGCTACAAGCAGCTCAAGAGCATCAGCAGCCTCGTCAAGAGCAAGTCGGGCTTGAGCGGCCGCCACGGCAGTGCCTTCCGCGAGCTGCACCTGCTTATGGCCAGCTTGGACTGAGGAGCCCAGAGAGTGGGGGCACCTTCAGGCCTGGCCTCGGCCCCCACACCTGTTCCCTGTGCGCCCACCAGCCCATGAGCCTCTGCCCGGCCCCCACTGCTGCCCTGTGGCCATCCTGGAGGCGGCAGCGCTGGCCCACTGGCCACTCCTCAGCCCTGACCTCTGACAACTTCTCTGCAGCAACAGCTGCCCAGCTTTGCCCAACTCCTGCTTCCTGGGGCAGTGAACTGAACCCTGGGGCTGCTGCTGTAATTTATAAGGTGAATTTTATTAAATTTGTAACTATTCCTTGCTTTCCTTGCTGGGAGTTGCATCCTCTGGGTCACAAGGCTCTCCTGGGTCCCTGATGGCCTCTTCAGAGAGGAGACCACTTCTTCTCCAAGACCCAGAGGTGGTGCTCCATGCTGGGTGGCCAGCAGGGAGCAGCAGAGTGATGGGCCGGCCGGAAAGGGTAAGTTCAGACATATTCTGGGGGAAGGCGGGCCCAGCAACTCCCCCTTTCATGGCTAGAAGAAACAGGTGAGGGGTGGGCTCAGGCTCTCCAGCCCAGCCCCTCTGTCTCAGCCACACTCCCACCTGTCCAGTGGATGCCTCTGAGGCCAGTTGGCAGCTGTACCCTGCAGGGGGCTGGGACCCCAGCCTTGCAGTAGGGCCACTTACTGCAGTGGCTGATCCAGAGCTCACCCCCCTCCCCCACCCCCGGAGGCCTCCAGGGATGGGATCGGAAAGGCAGCCTCCCCATGCTCTGAACAGCTGCTCCTCCCTGCAGGAGCCCCCAGTGCTGGCTGGCCAGAACAGCTCCCCTGACCCAGAGGTCACCCCGCTTCTCCTCCTGAGGCAGCTTCAGCCCATTTGGTGGGAGGACCCCACAGAGCCCTGCACACGTTTCCCCAAGGCTGGAACCAAGTGCAGGCCAGCACCACTTCCATGGTGGGGAGCCTGGTGGGCATGGCACCCATGGTTGGGGCGCTTTGGGCAGAGGGAGGAGCGGGGTGGCACTCACCTATGGCCATTCATATAAGGGGGCGAGGCCAGGGCAGAGGGCAGAAGTGGAGTAGGGACCACTGTGGCTAGGTTTTTAGCAAGGCTTTGGAGAGCTTGAGTTTCCCATTTATTAGGTGAAGGTGCCAGTACTTGCATGGGTCAGTCATAGTAAGGATGAGGGTAGGAGGTCACTTGATCCTGACTTAGTGGGTGACAAGCCAGCACTGGGGAACCACCCACAACATGCCAACACCCTGCTCCCTGCGTCTGATCAGGGGCTCACAAGACCAACTCTTCCAGACAGTGCTTGTGTAAAAAGGTTATTTTAATAAGTAAAAATGGCTAAGCTTCCAAAAGTTCTTAAATAGGATTTCAGAGGGAGGAAAATGTCAAGAGGCTAGTGAGCAGGGAGACAGCCTGGTGCCAGGCAGAAGAGGGGAGCAGCAAGATCCCCACTCACTGGCCTCCTGCCGGCCATAAATAAAGCCCGACCCGCGGCAGGAGCAGGCCTCCTGTGTACACCTAGGAACACTATATACACACCTGGCGAGATGCTCTACTCCCAGAGAAGAGCAGGACAGGGCTGCCCACCAACCGCCCAGCTCCCACAGTTCCTGTGCCTTCTGGAGGGGCCCTGCGGGCTGGGGAGGGTTGGGCCAGCCCGGGCGAGGGCCCACCCTCCCACACAACACACTTGTCCTCCCCACAAGGGCCCACACTGATGGCCTGGGCCCGCCCTTCCAGCCTGTGCCACTTGCACCCAGAGCCACAGTCAAGAGACAGGGTTTCCTTCTGAACATGTTTCTCATCTCAGGGGAGATGGGGTCAAAGAGGCACCTCCACTCTGGCCTCTGCTTCGCGGGCTCCAGACGCTGCAGCAGGGGCAGGTCAGCCATGCATGGGGACCCAGTCGCTGGTCCCTGGTCCGGCAGGGTGGGCATGTCCATCACACGGGCAACGGCCTGGACTTCCCTATGGGAGGGGGTAGGTTTTGTCAGCACCAGGACAGTCAGCCTCTGTCCCAGAGCAGGAGGCACCCGGGCAGAAGCACACAGATAGCAGGCAGCGAGCCCCAGACCCAGCCAACTTCCCGGCACAGCCCTGCAACCCGAGGCGGCCAGGCAGGCGGGTGGGCGGGCAGCCCTGGGCTGCTGGCCCCCACACTCACCTGGAGACTCTGCAGCCCCAGCCGTCAGGCTGAAATCAAAGCAACAGGTGTCTGACTGGTAGTCTTGGCCTTGGGCTGGACCCTGCTGCCCACAGGACCCCCCAGGACCCTGCTGCCCACAGCCCCTTTAGACTCAAATACTTGCCAGGCCCTTCTGTGAGTGGGCCAAGCTGGGGGCTGGAGCCCCAGATTCTAATCACCCATCCATGGCCTACTTGGGAAGGCATGTCTTTCATGAAAGCCTCAGAGAATTGCGTCCTGGGCCTCACATCAGTGGCCCAGCTAGGAGTCAGAAGGGCTGGCCGCCTCCTGACACTCCATCTCCAAGGGGCCTTCAGTTTCCCATCAGTAAAATGGACCCAGCACTGTCTGCCCTGACTACTTCCCAGGGCCAAGGAAGGTTGTGGTCTGGAGAAGTTCCATAAATTTAAAGCCCACTCTGATAAGGGCAGCCCATAGCTGTGATCAGCCAATGGGGGAGGCTCCCCACCCTGGCTCCCTCCCTGAAGACTCACCTGAGGGCTGCAGCTTCCTCCTGATGGAGCCTGGGCGGCTAGTGGTCCCAGAGCCAGGGGCCGAATGGGCTCGTGCTGAGGGCTGTGGCGTCTGGCAAGCTGGCTCCCACTGTGGGCAGAGAAGGGCAGGTGGGCGGGGTCTGCTGCCCTGGGTCTACCCCTGCCCACATGTTTCCCCTCCCCAGCCACCTGAAACTGTTTCATCTGCAAGATGGACATCATGATGTACAATAACCATGGAAAGAAGGTGGGAATTAATAAAGAAGCAAACTAGTTACTACTGAGCATCTGTGTGCCAGCCTGCACCTCCCTGCCCCACCTCCAACCAGCTGATGACCCCTAGGTACCTCTGAGGTCCCCAAAAACACCTGGACTGAAGAGACTAATGGGTTTGGGTTCAAGTTCTGGCTCCAACCCCTCGGGTGTCTTCCTCTCTTCCCCACTCCAGGCTGTCCTCCCCGCCACACCCTCCCTCCTGCCCATGACTGGAATCTTTGATCCAGCGCTGGCCAGACGCAGGCCTGTGGGGGTCCCAGTACCTCTAGGTGCTCCTGGCTGGACCACGACCCGAGCTCTGTCCTGCGGGACCCAGGGCCCAGCTCCACAGAGCGCACCCTCTCAGCAAACTTGAGGGAGTAGAGCGTCTCACTGGTGTTCTTCTCCACAGGGGACACCTAGGGGACACACAAGAGCTCACTCTCCACCTGGCTGGCCGGCTGTCCTCACAGAACTGGAAGGGGCATCAGAGGGAGCTCACAACCAGGGGGTTCTAGAAGGCTCCCTGGAGAAGAGGAGAGGGAAGGGAGCTGGGATTGGGGGGCGGGCGTGGTGGGCAACTTCACCAAGGTGCCTGAAGTGGAGAAAGCTGCAAGCAAAGCCTGACTGGCCAGGTCTGTTGGGAAGGCTATGGGGTCGGGGTGGGGGGCACATGTCACTGACTCCAAAGCTGCTGAAGACAAGACGCTGTTCTCTGCACAGCCTGTGGGGTATCCGGGCTGCAGGGGAAGGAGGTGGGTGGGAACCCCTGTTCTTGGAACTGGCCAAGTCCGTACACGCTGATGGCCACCCTGTCAGGCCAACCTGAGACCCTCACCTGCACCACCATGAGGGTCTTGCTGTCCCCGCTGAGCGAGTCCTGAAGCAGGTAGGTGAGCTTGGAGTTGCGGAAGGGCACGTGGCCCTGACGGGAGCGCAGGGCAGCGATGACATCGCCCAGGGCCGACAGCGACTTGTTGATGTGCTGTGCCTCCCGCAGGCGGCTGCCCTCCGCCCCCGACTTGCCCACGCGCTCCGAGCCGGCCAAGTCCACCAGGTTCAGCTTCCCTGCGGGGAGGGCGTGGGCAGGTCAGGGCCGCCCCAGGAGAGGCAGGGGTGGGGTGCTCGGGCCGGGCGCTGGGGGCCCTGGCTCACCCGTGGTGCGGAGGCCGGTGCTGCAGTCCACGCCGCGCACCGTCACGATGAGCAGGGCGTGCGAGCGAGAGCTGTGCTCGTTCAGGTTGGTGAACTCCGTGGTGCGGTTGGTGTGGCCGAACTCGAACACCTGGAGGCGGGAAGGCCGACGCACCGGCTTTGGAGTGGGGTCTTCGGAATCCCCAGTCCTGGAGCACCCCTATGAGGGGGCGTCACCCGCTACCTCCTCCGGGGGAGGAAGCAGGTTCCCAGAGGCCTGCAAACCCGGCAAAGCCGGACCCCGAGCCACATCCCTCCCGGTGGAGCCGCCCCGCTGTGGGCGGAGCCGCCCGCTGTGGGCGGAGCCTCCCCGCGTTGGCCCGCCCCGCTGTGGGCGGAGCCGCCCCGCGTTGGCCCGCCCAGCTCCTCACCTTGTTGATGTCCTCCACGCTCTGCACCTGGAATTCGGTCAGCCCCGGCACGTATAGCTGCCCGCTGCCGTCTGGGCACAGCCGGATTTCCAGTTTCTCCTGGGGCTCCTGTCCCAGCAGGTCCCTGAGGGCAGGAAGGACAGTCACGCCCTCCTCCCAGTCTGCATTCTGCTTACAGTTGCACCCGCCCCCAGCCTGGAATGTTCCCCCATCACACTTCAGGATGCCTTCCTGGACACCAAGGTGCTCAGACCCTCTCCCTTCGCAGCCCCAGCTCCTCTTGGGCACTCAGTTTGCTAAATGGCAGAAGCAGGAATGTTCCCCAAAAGTCCTGGGGTGGTGTTGACTCCAGCCACGCTGCACTGAACCCCTGGAGGCAGGGTTCCCCAAGACCCCACTCTCACTTTTCACCACCCAGTGCAGCCTGCGGGCAGGGTGAGCGCACTCTGAGAGGGAAAGGAGGGCCTTGGTCTGGGTGTCCCAGCTGGGCTCAGTGGGCCCTCCTCCCTCCCG